ATCTGCCCCAACAACTTGCCCTCACATATCATCAATCCCTAATTTTCCTCCTGTACCTCAATTAAGTTTGATCTTGTCTCATTTTATGCATTTTGAAACATCTGTAATAAACACAACGTAGTAAACGTATGAACAATGACGTGTATGTTTACTGTGTTTTTTTTCAGAAAGCATGTTTATTAATGTGAAAACTGTTAAGGATAGAGACCAACATGTGATACAAATCAATACATTTCTGCGCTTGTATGTGTTGTTGTGCTGCGAGGCCATCTGACCGGGTTTTATCAGATTCCTGTTTTATCTGACGAACGTCTTGTTGTGTTTTGCTCCACTGACAAAACCTGATGTGCACCGAAACAGCAGTGACATTTGGAAGAACAAATTCATTAGAAAGGTCGTAACACACCTATACATCTGTTACACATCTATATATATAAGTATTTATAGTGATCAGCTACAACTTTAAAACCACCAACAGGTAACGTGAATACCGTTTATTATCTTGTTACAGCGGTATGTTGTGTTTAAAGTTGGCTTCTCAAACTCTGATGTTGTGCTTTGGATGGTTCTCACGCTGGAATATTTCTCTTCTTCAAGCTTCTGCAGACCGGGACTCATCTTGTCAGCCAGTAGTTTGGTTTATCCACAGACATTTATCCATAAATATCACCTGCCCAACAACCTTTACACTCATGTAGCCCCAAATCATGATGCTGCCACCTCCGTGCTTCACTGTCAGGACCATGCATCCACTGTGGTGGTCCTGGTCAGGTTCACACCAAACATCTGGACTCCATCTGAACCCAACGTGTTTATCTTCATCTGACCAGATAATGTTCTCCTACATTCACCAGGCTTCCTTTATGTTATTGAGCAAAATTTGATCGTGAAATTTTGCATCAAAGCAAGAGTTTACTTTCTTTCTCGGATGCCGTCCAGAGAAGTTGATGTTCTGAAGTGTCTGAGCTTCACACTGACTCTGGTCTCCATTGATCAGCCCTGTGCCAAGTCTGAAGCAGCTGCCCTTTGTCTGCTGTTCACAGCTCCATAGTGAAAGCAGCTGACTGTCTATGGAGTCATTTCAGGACGACCACTGCAGCCCTGATCAGAGCTGCTGTGGCTCCTTCTAGACCTCCTGGTTCCTGCTCTCACTGGGCTTCACTGGTGTTTAGTTGATCTTCCTGAATCCTTCACCGTCCTTGTGAAGTCCAACAAAAATATTCTTCAGTTCCTCTGTTCAGTTCTTCTCCATGTGGAGCCATGAAGCAGACATACATAGAGCCCTTAGGTCCAAAACTGAGAAAGTTCTGCTGTTCACGGCTCATTTTGGAACCATGTTCATGCCGTTCGACTGACTGGAAACCAGGTCGATTCACATTTGACTGAAATTTTGAGGCATTTTGAACAAACTTCGAGCCATTCTAAACAAACTGAAGTCATTTTGGATTGGATCTTTCTGTTATTTTTACCATTTCTGAGTCCTTTTGAGCAATTTTTAGCAATTATGGACCAACTTTAAGTTTTGTTTGACAGATTTGACGCCTTTTTAGACAAATTTGAACCGACCATGAATCACATTTGGGGTCATTTTGAACAAATTGTGTGACACTTTGCGCACCTTTAACTTCTCTCCATCCTTTTCCATCTTTGTGAAGCCTCACAGTCGGATTCCTCAGTTCCTCTGTTCACTTCTTTTCCACATGGAGCCATGATGCAGATGTACATAAAGCCCATTGGTCCAAAACTGAGAAGGTTCTGCTGTTCACGGCTCATTTTGGAGCCATGTTCATGCAGTGAGACTGATAAGGAATCACAGGTCGGTTCAGATTTGTTATTTCTGCTTTGGAGGCCTGAATCTTGGATGCAGTCTTTTGGAGGAATGTTTCTGTAACTACACCTGAACTCACGGGAACTTTGCTCCGGATTTGCTGCAGGGTCATCAGGTAGAACTGCAGATGCTTGTTCGTGATGGCGTGTCAAGCACAGAGAATTAACGAGATAAAATCTTGCGGCGCCACATGACCTCGAATGACGGCGACGGTTAATCGGTGGAAAGTTTGACACTTTACACACAGCGGCAGCAGCTTTTACCGAGTTTATCGGGTTTGTTGTCAGAGATTACGGCTGATTGCTACAGTATGTGGACAGACAAGAATCTGGATGACTTAGATATTGTGAAAATGAAACCAGCCACGTAGCGGCCACACCAGGAACCTCAGCCGGCACTTTCTTTACTAATCGCATTGTTAGATTTCCATCTCACTTTCACATTTAAAGGTTGATTTTCTTGCTAACATCTCTTTTACTTTTGTTGCTGCGTCCCAAATACTCTGAATGTGGTTCAACAAAACTTTAATTTGACCTCATTAGTATCTCTGAGACAACGGTTTAGTTACACTGGTCTACAGCCATCCTGGTGTCAAAGTTTTTTGAGCTGATTTTGGACAGTTGCAACGTGCTGAATCCAAATATTAAACTGGTTTTGCTCAATGAGGTCAAAATTTTAATTTGTCGCCACATGCACTTTTTAAAATTCTTTTTCTATTTCCTGAAATGAACAAATTCTGAAGCCTTTACAAGCTGATATTAGAAATATTTGCAGGTGAATTAAATGTAGATCGAAAGTTTACTTCCTGGTTTATGAACAACACATTAGAGTCAAATGATTTTATCAGAAAGAGACGGAGACCCGGTATCAGGGACGCTGGGATGCAGCCATGATGGCTGATTGCTGCTGGACTGTGAAGGGAGATAAACCTGCTGCTGGTCATTCCAGGAGCTCCAAGAAGAAGTTCAAGCCCTGAATTTTGAGCAATGCTGATGAAACATGCAATTTACTTGTATTTACCTTTACAAATGTTTACGCTCATCGACTTTTGGATCATGTAGCTCATGAAAAGGGATAGAAAATGAACATTTTGCCTCTAAAATCCGATTTCATGTGAGAAATACTAAAATAAATCAACCGCTCATGTCAAAAAATGTCATCGATATAATGGCAAAATCGATTTTTTTAACATCGAGTTGGCATAAAAACCTGACCTGATACACAAAAGCAGACGTCACTTTTGGATTCAGCGTCGCAAAAATGTCTGAAATCAGTTAAAAAAATCCTAGACACCTTCAAAAAAAATGTTTTCCTGTAACCCAGAGTTGTCCTTATTCTTATTGCTTCATTTATTTTACTCACTCGCCCATTTTCTTTTTTTTTTTTTTAGTTTTGTTTCCTGGGGGGAGGATGTAAACTGATATAGAAATGCATTCTTCTGTTACTGCCAGATGATTTTGTGAGTTTTTAAATTTAAAAAAAAGAGTAAAATGAACTGAAATAAAAGCTCATATGGGTCACTTTCAATGAAGATTGCAGAAAAAAAATGACCAAAATTACTTTAATTATCGCTGCTACGGAAAGTAAGAGAAAGAATCATGAGATTTTCAATTTTCTGACTGATCTTGAGTGACTAAATTTAAGCTTTAAACTGTAACGTTGCTGCTAAATCGTTTTATTTCACACGTCCCGTTGAAAAATTCACCAAAAACAATCTGTTTGCTCTGATCAGATTCTGTGGCGCGACGCCGTCAGTTGCTCTGCTGTGACCGACAGTCACGCTACAAACATTTTTCAGCTGAACTGCAGAACGTGTTTACGCAAAGCAGACAGTGAAACATCTGGACTATGCAGAGCGTCCACATTTCTTTCAGCGTCGTTATCACCTGTGGATGTTTTGATTCTATGTTGTTGTTATTTTCTTTTTTGGTAAAATAAATTGTCAAAGAAATATTGAATTTCATGTTTTTCTGATCTACGATTTAAAGCTTTTTATCTTATTTTTAAATTCTGCACAGAAGGTCTTTTTTTTTAGCTCTCTCTCCTTCTTCGTGGTTGTTCTGGTACTATATCAGCAGGACTTTATCTATCGTGTGACGGGAGCATTTGGGCCTCAGATGTGTCGGAAAATAGTCCAAAAAAAAAGTGCATTTTATTATTTCACGACGTCTAAAAGCCCTGAAACACAGCATTGAATTCCAAAATGCAAATATATCAACCATGTGCCACATATGACAAAGGAAATCAGCAAATCCTCACATTTACTGACGTTTTTGAGTCTTTTTATGTGACAGAAGCTGCAGTAAAACTGAGCAGCTCTTCCTCCTGTCACTCAACGATATTATCACAATATTTAAGTAGCTCTGCCCTCGATGTCTTTCAGCTGCTCCCTACACCAGTTTCAGCAAGAATTTTATCACATTAAGGAAGTGTGGAGAGTATTTAAAGAGCAGGAGGCTGCACAGTCGGTCACTCTCTGTTTTCAGAGCTGAATCGCTGCTTCTTGAACCTGCAACTCGCTGCAAACGCCGACAAGATGGAGAACGGTGAGTATGGACAATATACAGCGATGTAATATGACTTCATGTGTTTTTAAGGTGGGTGTTTGTTTTTTTAAGTTAAAATTGATGAACAAGGACACATTAATTTGTTTGAACCTGTTATATTTACTGCTGTCTTAATTGGGCACAAAAGTACGGAAGCTAAACTGTGCCAAGAAAATAATTCATGTTAAATTCAAGAGGTGCAAGTAATCAGCCAAACAGAAGCAACGACAGCATTTTACTGTTCCGATTATTAAATGATCACGCTTTTTAAAATGTATTCGACGTGTGTTTCCCAATTACATCCCGTCACACTGCTCATTTTTTCTCCAACTTAACCGTCTTTAACCCTCCGAACCCTTAAAACCAACCGGCTGCTTTAAAAAGCACGTTGTCTTTTTTCAATCGTAAGTAAAAGTACGGCATTCATCATCACAAGAAACTGTAAAAACAGAAGAAAAATCTGTGGATTTTCACCTTTGTGGCGGCAAATGAATGAATCATGTGTGACTTTTATTTGCATCAGGATAAATAACCAAATCTAAGCTTAAAATCACAACATTTCTTCAACATCCCTTCATTCTGTACATTTTAAAATTCTAAAAAAAAATGTAATTAAATTAAAAAACTACGCTGAACACAAAAATGTTTTCTTGTCTTACCATAAAACCGCCTTAACTTTCTGTCTTTTTACCATTTTGTTAGCTTTTATTTCTTTGTTTTGATAAACATTGATGAAAGCTGGATGGAATTTTCTGCTCTAAAGATGCAAAATGTTTGATCGTGTGATTAAAAAAGTCATGTGACAGTTTATTCTGGTTTATACAAAACTTTCATGTGACTGAACTAAATTCACGGTTTAACAGTGAATGCAACAACAATTGTAATAAAAACGTGCATCATATGTAAAGAACAATACCTCATTTATTCATAGTGCTGGATTAATATAACAATCGATCCAATTCTTTTGCTTTTTGACTTGGAGAATCTCTGAATTCGTTCTACTTCCTTCCTGCAAACCTCCAACGTTTGACCGACTTGACACGAGATTTTGAGGCGCTTTTTTTTTCACTGTTCTCTTGTGCTTCTGTTTATGTTGTGTTTTGCTGTTGCAGTGATTAAAAGCGTGGACTTCCACTGCCAGGCCAACAACGCTGCCCACCGAACCATTGAAATCTCAACCAAGCAGCTGATTGTGAGGCGAGGCCAGTCCTTCCTCCTGACTCTGGAAATGATGCGGCCTTTCAGTTCATCGGACGTACTCGTCCTCACGGTGGAAACAGGTGGAACAAACACTTACACTGGATTTAAAAGGCTAGAAGGCTTTTTAAAATGGTTCTGCTGTTCTTTTATCCTGTTCTTAACTTGTTTAAATATTGTAAAGTATACCTATCTAGAAAGTCCATGGATGAATCAATAAAAACACCTTTTTGTGACCAAGTATTCTTTATATTTCATCTCACACATAATCTGAGATCATCTGATTTAGTTGGCCAACCTTGGAGATTCTGAATCAATGACACAATGAAAAATAATAGTAAAAATTTCTGGTGTTTATCTTTAATAGCTCCTGAGCTGTTCACCCTAAAATTTCGATGGACGAAGCCATAAACAGGGATCTCCAACTCCAGTCCTCGTGAGCTACTGTCCTGCAGGTTTTAGACGTTTCCGTCCTGCAACACACCTGACTCACATTAATGGATCATTAACAGACTTGTGTAGAACTTGACAACAAGCTGTTGGAGATCCATTAATTTGAGTCAGGTGCGTTGCAGTACAGAAACCTGCAGGACAACAGCTCACGAGGACCAGAGTTGGAGATCCCTGCTATAAGATATAAGAAGCAAAAACTTACAGATACTATTTTAAATTGTCAAGCAGAAATTTGATGATTTCAGATGGAATGACTCTTAAATTTCAGTTGAGTATCCGATGATAATGATGGATTCACGGCTTAAGAATGTCGAGGACAACATGAGATGCCTCTGAAAATGATGAATCGTCTCAACCCGCCTGTTTTCTATCCTTCCTTACTTCAGGTTCTGCTCCGTCAGAGAGGTTCGGGACCCGGTCTGAGTTCGGCAACCCGTCGCCAATGTACGCCAGCGACGTCAAGGCGATCTGGAAGTACAACATCGACAGGAGCGCCGTCCTGCAGAGGGGCATCGTGACTCTGTCGGTGACCCCGCCGGCTGACGCCCCCGTAGGGAAGTACTCGCTGTCGGCATGTGCCGGGAAGGGAAACACCAATCTGGGAACCCTGGTGGTGCTCTTCAACCCCTGGTGCTGTGGTAGGTGCAGTGGTAGAGCTCTTATGAAGCAAGAAAGAAAAAAAATCAGCGACTAATCGAGAAACTTGGCAGTGATGAAAATAATTCCAATGGAATCACAGTTATTGGAGCTTATGAGCCGTGTTGTAGCGTTCAGAAGAAGGTATTGTTCTGAAAACAGCCTGGCAAAGTTCTGCAAAGTCCTCGTAATGTTCCATTCGCCAACGTTCCATTTGAGTTCCCAGAATGTTCTCCCTTATTTTCCAAACGTTGCTTCCAGAACATTCTTTCGTTGTTGTGAATCAAAGACTGTGGGAACGTTTCGTAGAAGAACTTTTTCAACAGCAGCATCCCCAAAAACATCCTCAGAATGTTCCAGGAAAACTGTTCCACCTTTGGTCACATCACAGGAACGTTTCATGAAAACACTTTCTGTCATCTGAGGCTTGAAAACATTTATGTAATGCTGGTTCAAAATCTGACAACATCCTTGAAACATTCTGTCTTGGTTGACTTTTAACCTCATAGGAGCGATATTTGAAATGATAAACATCCTCTAAACTCCCTTAGACTGCTTTTGCACTTGTCTTGGATGTTTTTTGGACTGATGTGAGACTGGTAAGAGACCTCGTTTTAGATCAGTTTGGGGCTGGATTTCAGACTGGGATTGGGACTGGTCTTTGACGGGCTTTTGGATTGTTTTGGAGCCAGTTTTGGACCAGTGTTTGACCACTTTTGTGCTTGTGTTGGACTTGATTTTATTCTAATATGTTTGCCAGTGTCTTACCAACGAGCTAACAAGTTTCACAGCTGCTTGTTGTTTTCTGAACATTACGTTTGTTTGCAGATGACTGGGTGTATCTTCCTGACGAAAGGGAAAGACAGGAATATGTGATGAATGAAGAAGGAATCATCTATCATGGATCGGCCCATTACATCACCCCTTTGACCTGGATCTTTGGACAGGTGAGTGCTACAGCGCTGCCCGACTTGCTTTTTTGCTTCGCTTTATGAATCCAGTGTTGCTTTGAAGCCCTGCCAGAGCTCTCTTTGAGAAACAAATGCTGTCCTCACGGGAGAAGTTTGTGATTCGAATGTCGATATTTGCTCAACAGTGACCTCTAGCTGCAAATCAATCAATCAATCAATCAATCAATCAATCATACTTTATTAATCCCTAGGGAAATTACCTAAAAAACCTCTGAACTTGAGATTGTTCATCACATTACACGACATAAAAAAAAACACAGTAAAGGAAGCTAAAAACAAAATTACTTGTTTGCCAACTGTTAGAGAGACGAAACAAACTGAAGAGGGAAGAAGTCTTCAGGAATTTTAATAAATTAAGCAAGTTAGAATTATTCATTTGTGTCAGCCGATATCAGCCATGTTTAATGTTGTCTGCTAATTAGTCAAGTGACCTGCATGTCCGCGACATCAGAACTTATTTGGAAATGGTGTTTTAATCTCTCATGAAGCCTATTAAGTCTTTTACAAAGCAATCAAAAACCACCTCAAGAGAGCACGATTTCCCTGAACTTTTTCTGATTAAATACTTTAAAATGTGCATGAAAATACATGAAGGAAACTCAGCTGCATTGACCTCAGCTTAGGGTGAAGTGTCAGCGCCCAGTTTTGTGTTGTAAACCAAGCAGTGAAGTTTTTCTATCTGCTATCTTCTATCGACCTGATCAGTTCCAAACTCCAGGGTAATAGCAAGCAACCTCTAGCTAGCGGCGAGTATTGGTGGCTCTAACTTGTGTTTCCTCACCCAGTTTGAGGAGGATATGGTGGACATTTGCCTCAAGATGTTGGACGTCAACCCAAAACACTTTAGAGACCCGGCTGACGATGTCTCTGCTCGCTGCAACCCCATCTATGTTGGCCGTGTGGTCAGCGCCATGGTAGGATCCGAGTGTGTTCAGTTTTCCCAATTCTCACAAGCGCCTTCCTCAAAGAAAATGCAGCTTTACCTTTGTTACAGTTAGAATGTGATGCTTCTACCTTTATTTTTCCACATGCAGCTTCCGAGATAGACGCTACGAGTCAGTCGCTGAATGTTTTCGGCTGCTAACGTCAGTGTTGCTCCTTTTCTGGAGACAACATCCTGGTTTATCTCAAACCAGGATGTTGTCTGAAACCTCTCCTCATAGTATTGGGAATGAGAAAAGGCTGAGTTTACAATGAGGTCTGTCTAATCTGTAGATCAACAGTAATGATGATAGGGGCGTGTTGGTGGGATGCTGGGGGGACAACTACTATGGCGGTGTAAGTCCCACCCGCTGGACTGGCAGCGTTAGCATCCTTCGGCACTGGTACCAAAACAACTGCCTGCCGGTGAAGTTCGGACAGTGCTGGGTGTTTGCTGGTGTCATGTGTACAGGTACTGAACCTGCTTCATGTGTCTCATCAAACATCAGCAGGACTGAGACACTGTCTGACTCTGACATGATGTTGTCTATGGTTCCAGTGATGCGGTTCCTTGGGATCCCATGTCGTGTTGTCACAAACTTCAAGTCAGCTCACGATACAAACAACAGCCTCAGTATCGATGAGTACTATGACGACTGCGGCATACAAGCCCGGGAAACCTCAGACACCATCTGGTAAGATGGGCTTTAAATATGAAATCAAAAGGGTTTGTTATTGTTTTTTCCTTATATTTCAGTTGTGCTTTGGCAACATCGAATATGTAACGTATGTGCATTGTTTGCAGAGCAGATGTTGAGTAAACTGTGGTAAGATGCAGCACGAAGAACGTCTATTCTCAAGTCAAAACTCTGCTATACCTTTATTATCATTGATACTTAATTCATAACATAAAAATACTGTGAAATGCCCAATCAGCGGTAGTGAAGAACTGATGCTAGCTAGCAAGTGCTACTGCAAGCTAATGTAGCGTAACATTATTAGTTCAACATAAAGTCAACTGCATCTGCCTTGTGGCGAGTTTGGCCCTTAAACAAAGAATAAGCAACTTACAACTACAGTTCCCACAGTTTTCTGTTCACAATCAATACAAGCAGCTAACAATACTTTAGCAATGTTAAATCTTTGAGCAACCACCTGGAAACTGAGTGGAAACACTGTGATAGTCAGTCGGCATATCATAGAACCACATAACAACAACCAAGCAATCAATCACAAGATTTAAGCAACCGAAAAGAAACATTCAGCTCCATCTTTAAAAGCTCGAGGACTGGGAAACTTTTTTATGCCATGCAGGAACTACCACGTGTGGGTGGAGGGATGGATGAAGCGACCAGACCTCAAGAAAGACAACAGCTACGATGGTTGGCAGGTTCTGGATCCCACTCCACAGGAAATGAGCCAAGGTGATGGCGGTTTAATTTTTACACCAATGAATGGACCCACAAACGATTAACTGGAGGAACAAGCACAACCAACGCAACTGACACGAGACATAGTTTCGTAGAAGTACAAGAAGTGTTTCCTAGGAAGTGGGAAATATCAAGGTTTGGTTTTCTTGGCAGGAGTGTACTGCTGTGGTCCTTCTCCTGTTGCCGCCATTCTTTGTGGCGACACCGAGCTCAAGTATGATCTGCCGTTCGTCTTCGCTGAGGTCAACGCTGACATCGTCAGATGGAAGGTCAGTAGCTAATGCGTGGACAGTGCTGTCATGACTGATAATAATAAAACAATAACGAGCTGTTTGGTGCATCAACTATTGCTGCATGACTTCCAACTGTACTGTGCCTATGAAAAGTTTTTATCCCCGTGGAAGTTGTAGTCTGCAAAAGACCTGCGACGTTTTCCAGCAAGACAATGACCTGAAGGATACAGCCAAAGACACAACTCAACACAACACTGACACTTTTCTATTCTGACTTTATGTTCTCAGGTCAATGCTGATGGTTCCAAGAGGAAAATGTACTCTGACAGCTGGACAGTGGGTCAGAACATCTCCACCAAGGCTGTGGGCTGCAACATGAGAGATGACATCACCAACAACTACAAACACAGAGAAGGTGCCAACGCCAACATTAATGTGCATGTTAACAGGAAATCATCCACTGAGTGTCAAACACTGTTGTTAGCTTCTTGTTGCAGCTTGATTCACATGAACCTGTTTACCAGGTGGCAGGTTGGACTGAGCTCGTAAAATGCTCTTGATGTTTATGCACAAACTCACTGATTTCAGATTGTTTCTAGAAAAATATATTTCATACAACTGAGACAACAAGATGGAGTCTGGCTTTTCAAGAGTACAAAACCAACAAAATGGTGTTTACATTTGGAAGCATAACTGCACACATTGCATTTGAATGTTGACAGTTAGTGTCTCTTCAGCTTCTGATCTGGTTTCAACATCTTGTAGACACTTTTCTCAGCCAAAAGATGTCAAAACAGCATGAACTGAGCCAACAGATGACACCTACTGTTTGAAAGAGCGATATCTGCAAAGACAGTCGCCAATCCATTTTTACCAACAAAAGATCAACATCCAAGCAACCGCTTGGAAACTAACACCTTAAAAACCATCCAGCAACCATCAGCTAACCCGCTAACTGAGTTTGAGAGTGAACATATGTTAATTCTTCTTTATCTGTGATTTTCTAACAGGCACCATGAGGGAGAGGGCCGTCTTCAACCGAGCCGTCGAGAGAATGAACTCAGGAGGTGATCAGCAGAGCTTCTGTGGAGTACACGAGCCCCTGAAGGTGGAGATGAAAATCGAAGAGGTAAAACTTATTTTGGTGCAAAGTCACCAAACCTTTCTTTTTAAATCTGACTGGTGATTCTATTCATGTATTTTAGATGCCCTGGTTACTTTTAAAATTGAAGGTATGGTACTCTTTCCGTTTTCGTTTAGAAAGTAGCCTGAAATAACTCCCTGGGGGCGTTACCAAGATGGCTGCCAAGTGGCGAGACTTGCCTATAAGGACATTGCAACACCATCTGTGGTTGATGTTAAATAGTAGACAACAATTTCGTCCAATACTAGTTGAGATAGTTTGGCTAAATTCAGCTTAATCATATATAGTTCAAAAGAAAGTGTGGACACCTGCATGTTATCATAGACTGTATACAAAGATGGATGAACCCTGTCTCATTCAAAGCTGCCACATCCTTAGACAAGCCCAACTTCAAGCCTTAATACAATTTATATGGTGAGTTACACAAACATTCACCTCACATACAATTGTCATGAACAGAAGAAGTAGCTAAAGAACCCAAAATGGATTTTTGCACCATATAAATATGTTGATTTCTGCTGTAAAGTTGAACACTTTAACATGGGAGTCTACAGGGATTGACTTGCTTGTGGAGCCTCAAGTGGACGTGAGAGGAAGTGCAGTCTTTGGCAGTCGTATTCTGGCTTCATTTTTCAGGCGTTTGCTGTCACAGCCGGTGGTCGAAGTGGCTATAGCCTTAAATATGCACGTATTTGAGCTTTAACACAATTTTAAAAGGGTGAGCTCTGTAAATAATGACCTTCTTCACAGTTGTCATCAACGGGGAAATCAGCTATGGAGTCCAAACATTTTATACTTTTACACCAGGCTGTAAAATGTTTATTTCTGCTGTAAAGTTGGACATTTAAACATCAGGGTTTATGAGGATTAACTCACCTTTGGAGGCAGCCTCAAGTGGACATTTGAGGAACTGCAGTTGCACTTAGACATTCTCGTAGATTAATCGTAGCAACTGGACTTGCTTGAGTGTGGCAGGGGGAAGCACTAACGACCCACATAACGAGGGGGAGGAGCAACAAACCCCCAGTTGAAACCGTTAATGGCTCCTGAAGGATATCAGTATCTGGAACTACCAACTAGTCAGTCAGAACTGATGAAGCCTCTTGGATGAGAGGTGGAATGTCTTCGAGGACCTCAAGCAAGTCCAGTTGCTACGATTAATCTACCAGAATAACCACGACCTGGATGACTGAGAACCTTCACAGACATGGCACTTAGATGTTTGCTCCATTTTTCAGCTGGTTGAACAGAAAGTCAGAGATCATATCAACAATGAAATAGATTTTTTTCGGATGTATAAATGGTCAACTTCAAAGTTTTAGAGAATTAATTGAGAGCTCAGCGGGACAACTTGATGTTAAGGGCAGAACAGAAGGTCAAAAACTGGTTGTGACGGACGTTCTCTTTCTCCACCAGGAGGCCACTGTCATAAACGGTCAGGACATTAAACTGAGGCTGAAGTTGTGCAATAAGGATCGCACCAGCAGAGTGATGTCCATCCAAGTCAACGCCCAGGCCATGAGGTACAACGGAAAACCAGCTGGCAACATCCTGAACACAGTGCAGCAGAGGACGCTTCTGCCTGGACAAGGTCTGCAGTGGTTCTCTTTCACTAAACAAGTTTGGTCTTCAAGGTTGGACACTGTGTGGCCATTCAAAATGTGATGGACTCCTAAAAAAGCTCCCAGAGCACATAACTGGTAAAGTTTGCTCGGCGAGTTTAAACCAATGATTTCCTATCCACACCGGTGCAGGTGTGACCATACCGATCCAGATCCCGTTCTCCACCTACGACAGACACATGGTGGGCTTGGACAGCATGAAGGTTTCAGCCATGGCCTGGGACGACGACGACATCTACGAGACCGAGACCGACATCGTCCTGCAGGACCCTGAGATCTCTATCAAGGCCAGTAAAATCCTCTGAGCTTTATTATGCCTGACTGTAGCAGGTGGGAGTGCCTTCAGGTTGGTAACTTTTGGGGATAACAGGAAACTGGGCTCACAAACAGGTTCTGTCAAGTTTAAAGAGTCTGCAGTGATGCTAGCAGCTCTGTTAGCATCACTCAAGAAGGTTACTCAGGCGAAACACAACAGGCAGAAATCTCCACCTCAGCAGCACTTCCATGGACCAAACCTTCCAGTTTTGTTCCTGTCTGTGTTCTGAGGGTTTGTGCTGAGAGTTTGTTCATATGTCCTTCATAGGTGGCTTTGTAGAGCACTTTATTGCTAATAATGTGGTGAAAACTATTGTTGACAGTTTATCTGATTTATGGAGTGAAAAAAAAGACACATAACAGAATGAAACAAGTGTTTCAAACCTGGTTTTATCTGCTGCTCCGATGTCCGTTCTAGAAATGAGTCAAATTAGTGGATATTTAACGAGATAATGCAAAATTTGTATATTTAAACAGAAAATTTGCAAGACCAAAAATAACCATCTTCAAGTCAGTAGTCGACTGGTGAATCTTTGTGGTATCTTTCAGTGGAGTTTTTGTCGCATGACCCTGATTTTATTGTCGTCGACTTCAACACCTCAGAATCATGGATGGCATGAATGTTGATTGACCAGCATAAAAAACAGCCAGTGTTCAAAGTTAACGGACAGCCGGTGCTGTTAGAAAGGTCTCAGTCTTTCAATCTACTGACATCAAAGAGCAAATGTTCTGCCTTTTGTAGAGATAAAAATACATACAGCAGGAGTTAAACTAATGCTGTACTATGTGTGTTTCAGGTTTTAGGTCCAGCCCACGTGAACCGTGAGATCACTTTGGAGGTGGAGTTTAAAAACCCGCTGAACAAGACGCTGACAGACTGCTCTCTGACCGTCATCGGCTGTGGCTTCTTCAGGTCAGACTACGTGGAAAGGTCAGTGTTCACACGAGTCACATAACCCGCTGGTGCTTTAAAACATGTTTGTTTTCCAACTGAGATGAAAAGATTGATACTACTTATGTCTGGTTGTTAAATACGGAGCTAGAGATGGGAATTTGTTCGCTTTACTAATTATAAAAACTGTCAAACTGTTGTCTAAACCAATCAACAGCTCCCTAATTGACACACGGTTTCTTCTTTCTTCCATCCACAAACAAAAACAAATGTAAAAACGATGATTTTATTGTGCTGGAACTATTTATTGAGCTCTCCATCCGCCTCAGTACGTCTGTGCAGCAGCTCCAGATGTTCTTCACCAAGAAACAGTTCCACCACGCAATTCTTGGAAACTTGGAAAAGCTTTTTCTTTTTTCAGTTTTAGACTTCAAAGTTTTACTGGTCACATGTAAAGAACTCTGATCCGTCTTCTTCCTGTCGTATAACGTTTCCACCTGCTTTGTTGACAGCAACACCTGTGATTTGGCGCCGTACGCCACGCTGAGGCTCAACATCACTACGATCCCCTACAGGGTCGGACTGAGGTCCGTGGTGGCCGACTTCGACTGCAGCTCCTTCAGAGACGTGAAGGGAAGCTGCATCGTCGACGTCAAACCATGAGGGCGACTTCATCGGGTTTGGGCTGAAATAGCCCGGCTCATTGTTAAGACGCTTTAGATAATTAATCCTCTGGAATGGGTTTGTTTGTTGTAATTTACTGCTAAAAAATGGCAAGAAATGGAAACTTTCACCTGTTTTCTTTGCTTTGGATAGTTGTGGAAGAGAATAGATATTTACCTTATTTAAATCAATATTGAGTGTTTCACAGCATTTTCTGTTACATGTAATAATTCTGACTGAATGTAGCTCAGTTTGAACCTGTGTTTTATACGATTACATCATTTTCATGTCATATAATGAGCTGGAGAGCCACAACACCTCCTGCATTCACCCACACAAACCTAAATGAACCCATGCAACAGTCATGAGAAATCCCTGATTAGAGACCAGTACCGCATATTTAACTTTAAAAACTCAAAATCTGCGCATTACGCTGTAATTGCAATGATAGAAATATACAATCTGACAACGTATTTGGTGTTTCTTGGTGGTGGATTTGCAGTAATAAACATGCTTTCATTCAACGACTTCCTCTTGATTTGATGACAGAAATGATCAAAAACTGTTCATCGCTCGGTGTGAAATCAAAGGTGCTGATTCAAGGAAGTGAGTTTGAAACTGTACCAATAAATACTGAAATAAACAATCAGTGTTTGGTCTCTTCATTTCCTTGTTTGCTCCAAATCCTGTTTTTTCAGACAGTGTTGTTAAAATGCTATAAAAATACCAAATACTGTTTGTTAGTACTTTTACTAACTGTCTGTGGCTCTCAGCTTCGAGCCCACTGGTTCCTATTAAAAAAGATAAACTTGAATAATGTCTGATAAACATATGGTTCAGTTTTAATAATGAAGTTTTTACCAAATGTTACTCAAAGGACCTTTGTTGGGGACTACTTTCAGTGGTGGATGAATACACATTTGGTGCTCTGTGAGCATCTGTGGCACCAGGAACAGAAAATTTCCCATTACGTACATAGATAACCAGTCAGCTGAGCTTTTTTAAATTAGGATGCAGAAATTGTGAGGTTCAAGGCTCTCAAGTGTGACTGGTTGATGGTTTCATTCAACTCTTATGAGAGCAGACCAAATGTCTCCAGGGTTTGAAGTGTGAGGCAAACAAAACACGGTGTTGAATCGTCTTGGGTTTTCTTGGGTTTCTTTTATGTAATTTTCAGAGTGATTTAGAGACTAATGCACCAATGATTTATAATGGAAATAAATGTTAACTGCAGCTCTACTTTGGTGATGTCCTGCAAAGCCAAATGATGATTCTGTCTTCTGGATGTCCGCTGGTTATAAACCTTTATAACAAATTTGTGATTTAAAATTTTTTTCTATGTATTTTTAAAATATACATTCAGTTGCAACATTTCAAAAAGAAACAGGCAATAATTCATTTTGATATATATATTTTTTTTCAGAATGAAGTTCATGCAAAGATGAAATGTTCATTCATGGGTACATGACAATAGCAGACTTTAAACATCAACATGTATCATCCAGCATTATATATAATGTGTGTTACAACCAAACAGCACAAAGCGCTAACCAGTAACATAACTTGCTCAAAAGCTTAAAAATAAAAACTACTAACATTTTATTTCAATGTAGGGATAAAGGTTGTCGATTTCTGGGAGGTTGCGTGAAGTTCTTTCACACAGTGATTTGCCAGTCAGACCATTCAGGAGATGGCGTCATTATGTGACCTTTGATCACCTTTTTTTGGTTGCACTGAACTAAGCAATGGTGATATAGTCGTGACCTCGTGTGTGCTTTCAGATGGCAGCCCAGCGTTCCAGGATATGATCCGTGAACTGCAACGCAACAGCGCTGTCTCTCCTGGTCACACAGATGTATATCTGGTCCTCTGACCATCTCCGCTGCCGGTAGAAAGGTGCAACAACAACGACTCCACCTTCTGTCGCTGTACTCATCACATGGAAAGGTGAGGGGCAATAAGGAAACAACAGTCCCCCTTTGAATAGACTGCATGTTCGTTTGGGGTTTAATAGTGATCGGAATAAAAGTTGTCCACATCTCTGAGGCTGTGGTAGTTTGATGATCAGTCCTTGTAGAGACAAAGGTTGTCGATGATGCAACATGATCTTTTGGGCTGACAAATATGGATGCACCTCCCAGTGCACTTCCAGATATACCTCCCAGTATACCCCCTAGTATATCTCCCAGTATACCTCCCAGTGTACCAGCTACACCTCCAAACACTCTACCACTTCCTCCTCAACAAACAGATGGAGTTTCATCATATCCTCCTGGTTGTTTCTGATTTCTTTCTTGTCCATTGTCCTCCTGATTTTGTTGTTGTTGTTTAGCTGTTCTCTTTTTTCTTTTAAGTAGTACCAGTAGAAGTAGCAGCAGCAGTAGCAGTACAGCACATACAACACAAAGCACTAACCAATAATACAGCTGTTGTGGGAATGAAGGAACAATAGTTGGACTAGGCTGCCCGAAAAGGACTGTAGCTTGGGGTTTAACAGTTGCAGAAATAAATGCTGTTGATGCCTGGGAGGCTGTGGTAGTTTTGGGATCAATAGTTGCAGGATTAAAAGTTGTTAATGTCTGGGAGGATGGTTTAGTTTTGGGATGAATCGTTGCAGGACTAAAGGTTCTTGATTGCTGGAAGGCTGGGTTAGTTTGGGGATTAGTCGTTGCAGGATTAAATGTTGTTGATGTTTGGGAGGTTGTGTTAGTTTGGGAATCAATAGTTGCTGGAATAGAGGTGGTTGATGTCTGGGAGTTTGTGTTAGTTTTGGGATCGATAGTTGCTGGATTAAAAGTTGTCAATGCCTGGGAGGCTGTGTTAGTCTGGGGATCAGTAGTTGCAGGAATAAAGGTTGTCGATGTCTGGAAGTTTGGGCTAGTTTGGAGAGCAACAGTTGCAGAAGTAAGTGCTGTTGATGTCTGGGAGGCTGTGGTAATTTTGGCATCAATAGTTGCAGGATTAAAAGTTGTCAATGTCTGGGAGGATGGTTTAGTTTTGGGATGAATTGTTGCAGGACTAAAGGTTCTTGATTGCTGGGAGGCTGTGTTAGCTTGGGGATTAGTCGTTGCAGGATTAAAAGTTGTTGATGTCTGGGAGGTTGGGTTAGCTTTGGGATCGAAAGTTGCTAGATTAAAAGTTGTCAATGCCTGGGAGGCTGTGTTAGTCTGGGGATCAGTAGTTGCAGGAATAAAGGTTTTAGATGTCTGGAAGTTTGGGCTAGTTTGGAGAGCAACAGTTGCAGAAATAAATGCTGTTGATGTCTCGGAGGCTGTGGTAGTTTTGGGATCAATAGTTGCAGGATTCAAAGTTGTTAATGTCTGGGAGAATGGTTTAGTTTTGGGATGAATCGTTGCAGGACTAAAGGTTCTTGATTGCTGGGAGGCTGTGTTAGCTTGGGGATTAGTTGTTGCAGGATTAAAAGTTGTTGATGTCTGGGAGGTTGGTTGAACTTGGGGATCAGTAGTTACTGGAATAGAGGTTATTGATGCCAGGGAGGTTGAGTTACTTTGAGAATCAATACCAGCAGAAATAAAAGTTGTCGATGTCTGGGAGGTTGGGTTAGTTTGAGAACCAGTAATTGCTGGAATAGAGGTCGTTGATGTCTGGGTGTTTGTGTTAGCTTTGGGATCAATAGTTGCAGGTATAAAGGTTGTTGATGTCTGGAAGGTTGTACTAGTTTTGGGATGAATCGTTGCAGGACTAAAGGTTCTTGATTGCTGGGAGGCTGTGCTAGTTTGGGGATCAGTAGTTGCAGGATTAAAAGTTGTCGACGTCTGGCATGATTTGTTGGTTTGGGGATGAATTGTTGCAGGAATAAAAGTTGTCAATGTTTGGGAGGTTGTGTTAGTTTGGGAATCAATAGTTGCTGGAATAGACATCGTTGATGTCTGGGAGTTTGTGTTAGTTTTGGGATCAATAGTTGCTGGATTAAAAGTTGCCAATGCCTGGGAGGCTGTGTTAGTCTGGGGATCAGTAGTTGCAGGATTAAAAGTTGTCGACGTCTGGAAGGTTGGACTAACTTGGGGATCAGTAGTTGCTGGAATAGAGGTTATTGATGCCAGGGAGGTTGAGTTACTTTGAGAATCAATACCGGCAGAAATAAAAGTTGTTGATGTCTGGGAGGTTGGGTTACTATGCGGATCAATAGTTACAGGAATATAATTTGTTGATGTCTGGGAGGTTGGGTTACTATAGGGATCAATAGTTACAGGAATATAATTTGTTGATGTCTGGGAAGTTTTGTTAGTGTGGGCATGAATTGTTGCAGGAACAAAGGTTGTTGATGTCTGAAAGATTGTGTTAGATTTGGGATCAAGAGTTGCAGGATTAAAAGTTGCCAATGTCTCAGGGGTTGTGTTCGTTCTGGGTTGAATCGTTGCAGGACTAAATGTTGTTGATGTCTGGGAGGTTGTGTTAGTTTGGGGATCAGTAGTTCGAGAAACAAAGGCAGATGATGTCTGAGAGGCTGTCTTAGTTTTGGGATCAATAGTTGCGAGAATAAATGTTGATGTCTGGGAGTTTGTGTTCGTTTTGGGATCAGTCATTGTAGGGATAAGGGTTGTCAATGATGCAACAGCAACTGTTGGACCAGCACCTGTAGATATACCTCCCAATGAGCCAGCACCTCCCAGGATACCTCCCAATGCACCAGCACCTCCCACTATACCTCCCAATGCACCTCCTAATGCACCTCCCAATGCACCAGCACCTCCCACTATACCTCCCAATGCACCTCCTAATGCACCTCCCAATGCACCAGCACCTCCCACTATACCTCCCAATACACCAGCGCCTCCCAGTATACCTCCCAGTATACCAGCTATGCCTCCAACCACTCCACTGCCTCCTCCTGAACTACCAGGATTTCCATTTTGTCCGTTGTCCTCATTATTTTCTGAGTTTTTGTCTTCTTTCTTTGTAGTAGTAGTAGTAGTAGTAGTAGTAGTAGTTGTTGTAGAGGTAGTAGGAGTGGGTGAGGTTTTGGTTGTGTCTGTATTGACTGTGGCTGTTGTGGTTGGTGGAGTCGTAGTATTTTGAGGTTTACTAGTTGCAGTTGCGGTAGTATTAGTGCTGGTAGTTGTAGTAGTGGGAGGGGCAGTTGTGGTTGAGGCCTGGGGAGGGCATTGGCATCGACTATCCATTTCTGGGTAAAACTCAGCAACAGTTGTGTGGAGAGGACACTGTGTTCCAGGAAACGCCACGAATCTTGAGCCCACTGAGCTCAGCTCTTGATGGAGTTGTGCCAAAGTCTTTGTCTGCAGATATTTAGATTCATACTCTGCGATGTTGTCGCCCCAGTGTGCGCTGGCTAACCACCTGTTTGTGTTGCGACTGTAACAGCAGAATGCTGTCCAGAGCATGGAAGGTATGTTAACCCTGTTGTTGAGTGTGTTGCTCGTGCTGGGCCGTGCTCCCGTCACTACAAAGCCTTCAGGGTCACCATTATTATTNATTCACCTGTCTAAAGCCACCTACCTCGTACCTCACAGAGATGGATTGTTTTGCATTTTGACGGTTGCGCTGCCGCGTGTGAGGGCAGCTTCTGGCTGGCGCACCTTAAGGAAAGTCAGGTAAACATCAAACACCTTCTTCATCGGGGGGCTGTGACCTTCGCTGTCCAGCAGCTGGATCTGATTCTGACACGGACACAGTTGATTTCATCAGCTGAACCACCACGACATTGACTCACATGAATTTGGCCCATGGCACCTTAAACCTGAACCAAAACAGATTCTGTCCAGGCAACATGAGCAATACCAGTATACGCACACACAAATCTACTTTCCTCAATTTCCAACACATGCTGTACTGCACATTCACACATTTTAGCTAATGTTTCAAGATTTGAGTCATACTGTTGGCATTGAATTTTCACCCTTGACCTTAAGCTTTTTGCTGAAACACACTCCTCTGAGTACTTCTGTTGCATTTGTAAGAACTTCCTTGACCCCAACCAAAAGTCTTTCTCCATAGCCTCCCTGAACTCCTCCCATACCCAAGTTATAGCTTCCGCAACTGCTGTAGCTGCAGCCCTTTTGACCAGCCGGTACCTCTCTGCTGCTTCAGGAGACCCCCGAGCCAGCCAAGACGAAAAAGTCTCCTTCTTCAGCCTGATGGCTTCTCTCACCGCTGGTGTCCACCAGCAGGTTTTGGGGTAGCTGCGACGACAGGCACCAGTGACCTTCTGGCCACAGCTCCTAATGGCCGCTTCTGCAATGGAGGCTTTGAGCATGGCCCATGCCGACTCCATGTCCCCAACCTCCCCAGGGATGCAGGAGAAACTCTTCCAGAAGTGGGAATTGAAAACCTCACGGACAGGGGCCTCCGCCAGACATTCCCAGTTCATCCTCACTAAACGTTTGGGTTTACCAAGTCTGTTCGGCAGCCTTCCCTGCCATCGATCCAGCTCACCACCAGCTGGTGATCAGTTGACAGCTCTGCTCCTCTCTTTACCTGAGTGTCCAAAATATATGTCTGCAGGACTTATGATACGACTATGAAGTTGCTCATCGACCTTTGGCCTAAGGTACTGTGGTACCAGGTACACTTATGAGCAACCTTATGTTTGAACATGGTGTTTGTTATGGTCAATCCGTGGCTAGCACAGAAGTCCAAAAACAAAACACCGCTCGGGTTCAGATCGGGCAGGTCGTTCCTCCCAATCCCGCACCTCCCAGTTTCACATCATTTCCCACGTGGGCACTGAAGTCCCCCAGGAGAACTATGGAGTCCCCAGGTGGAACCCCTTCCAGGACACAACCCAGTGACTCCAAGAAAGCCGAGTAGTCTGAACTGCCGTTTGGTGCATAAGCACAAACAACAGTCAGAGTTTTCCCCTCTGCAACACGCAGTTGCAGAGAGGCGACCCTCTCGTTCTCCGGGAAGAACTATCCCCTCACCTGCCCGGCGCCTCTCACCGTGGGCAACTCTGGAAAAGGAGAGAGTCCAACCCCTCTCCATAAGTTTGGCTACGGAGCCCTTGCTGTCCGTGGAGGTGAGCCCGACTATATCTAGCCGGTAGCACCAGCGCTCTGCACCAGCTCAGGCTCCTTCCCCGCCAGTGAAGTGACATTCCACGTCCCCAGAGCTCATCTACGCCACCAAGGGGTGGTATGCCAGGACGCCCACTCCTGCCTACCACCTGGTGGGCAGAGCACCCGACCCCGATCCTCTGTCCTGAGGGGGGTGGGCCCTCTGGGCAGAGGCCTTGTGTCCCTTTTTCGGGCTGTGCCCGACCGAGCCCACAGGGACCCAAGGCTTGGCCACCAGATGCTCTCTGGCAAGCCCCCCCCACCAGGCCTGGCTCCAGGTGGTGGCCCCGGTTTCCCTGGTCCAGGCAAGGTGGCGGCTTTTCTTGTTTGTGCTGTCATCATGGGTCTTTGAATCGCTCTTTGTCTGGTCCCTCTCCCAGAACCAGTATGCCTTGGGAGACCCTACCAGGGGCTAATGCCACAGAAAACATAGCTCCCAGGATCACAGGGACACTCAAACCCCTCCACCACAATAAGGTGGCGATTCATCGGGGATGAGACCAATCTGTAAATCCTGTTCCTAATACTCTGTAATAACAGCGCAGAAACACAAACAAAATGAGAGTCATACTGTGAATGAATTTGATTCTGTCTTGTGTTGCCTCTGTTTCAAAATAAGAGCAACTGAACAACTAAATGAGCTTGACAAGATCTAACAGGATAATTAGTAACTCTGCGGCAAGATTTAACGCCCCTTTCATATCATATGACGCTGCATGCTGTCACATTTATGTGTCTTTTCTGTTGAAATTGTTACTAAATCTGTTGGTTTGTTGTGTCCACAGGCTGCCATGTGCTGTGTGCACAGAGCTGCACTGGTTCAGAATACCTGCACAGGAAAAGTAAGGCCCTCCATTCAACTACACACACACATAAATATTACTTTAACCTGTATTTGTGAGGTACACGGACAGTGTACTTGAATTGAACAGCAAGCAGAGTGTTCGCGATTAATAAAAATACGGATTTCAATTAAATATTTGACTGAAATTATGAGCATACGACTGCACACAACACTACAATGCAGCTAACTTTCACTGGAGACCACACAGTACGTGCTCCTTATACAGTACTATGGTCCTCCTGGAAGATGTCCTGTACTTGTGATAAAAGATATTCCAGTTTGTACTGGCACAGCACTGTCTGTTGCTCGATACAACATGCAAACACTCCACAAGCTCAAACTATTATATCAACACAGCGACAGCTCTTTTGTATGATCATTTTTATCTCATGCAAAACATCCCATCAAATAATTCCATGAACAAATGTGAGCTGCTATCATTGAGGAATACTGAAAGACAAAGATGGTTTGTGAGGTGCTGCAGTGAACTGACGGTAACGGTTATCTCTTAAAACATGTGTTTGATGTGAACACCACAGAATGTGGACGCTGTGTCTGCTTTCATCATGTAGCTCAGTATTAGGTCGTCACAGGACACTGGAAAATATTTGATCTCTTCTGTGACACACATGTTATAATAAGTTCCTCAACGTTATGTGGACGTGAGCATCGATCTTAATTATTGTAATAATGAGTATAAAATGTTCTTTTGGACGTTTATGTGAACCGTTCTCTTTCTCTCTTTCTCGGTCTTTTGTCAGAGTTGTTTCCCAGCGGCCTTGTGGCTTTTAAGAAGATCACATTTAACATTTTAGGAAGAAGCTGCCATGAAGGAAGACACCAGGATGCAGGATGTCTATCACACTGAGGTGTGGCCTACAGTAAGCAACTCATTAGTGCAATCCAGGAAAGGCCAGGAAAAATGTGACAGGAGCATTTTGGCCTCAGAAGTGTCAGAAAATAGCAAAAAAAAAAAGAAGTGCATTTTCTGATTTCACCACATCTAAAAGCCCTGAAACACAGTGTTGAATTCCAAAATGCAAATATATCAACTATGTGCCACATATGACAAAGGAAATCAGCAAATCCTCACATTTACTGATGTTTTTGAGTTTTTATGTGACAGAAGCTGCAGAAACAATGAGCAGCTCTTCCTCCTGTCTCTAGCTGGATGTGCAGCAGTTCTAGTCAACGATATTATCACAATATTTAAATAATTCTGCCCTCGACCTGTTTTAGCTGCTCCCAAAACCAGTTTAGCAAGAATTTTATCACATTAAAGACGTGTGGAGAGTATTTAAAGAGCAGGAGGCTGCACAGTCGGTCACTCTCTGTTTTCAGAGCTGAATCGCTGCTTCTGGAAGCTGCAACTCGCTGCAAACGCTGACAAGATGGAGAACGGTGAGTATGGACAATATACAGCGATGTAATATGACTTCATGTGTTTTTAAGTTGTGTTAGCTTTTTAAAATTAAAACTGATGAACAGCTTATTTTTGTATTTGTCATAATTAAAGAGAAAACAGTCGCCAATCCACTTTTACCAACAAAAGATCAACATCCAAGCAACCACTTGGAAACTAACACCTTAAAAACCATCCAGCAACCATCAGCTAACCCGCTAACTGAGTTTGAGAGTGAGCATATGTTTATTTTCCTTTATCTGTGATTTCCCAACAGGCAGCGTGATGGAGAGGGCCGTCTTCAACCGAGCCGTGGAGAGAATGAACTCAGGAGGTGATGAGCAGAGCGACTGTGGAGTGCAGGAGCCCCTGAAGGTGGAGATGAAAATCCAAAAGGTAAAACCAGACATACAAGTGACACTGTGGTTAGTGGAGGTACAACTGTGGAGAAAAACACTTTTTTTTATAAATACTTAAGTCACCAAAACTTTGTAAGTCTGATTATACTGGTGATTCTATACATGGACTCTAGATGTCCTGGTGACCATTCAAACTGCATCTATGAGACTCTTTCCATTCATTTAAAAAACAGCATGAAATAACTGCCTGTGGGGCATTACCAAGATGGCTGCCTATGATAAGGACGTTGCACCATCACCTGTGGTCAGTGACAGTCATTGGATGGCAGTTCATCCCATAATAGTCAGTTGATAATATATTGTTCATAAAGAAAGTGTAGAAACCTGCATGTTATCACAGACTGTACATAAAGATGGATGAACCATGTCTTTTTCAAAGCGGCCACATCCTCAGATTTTTGCATTTTGGCTTCATTTTTTCAGGCGTTTGGCATCAGAGCAGGTGGTTGGTTCATCTGCCGTTTGTCACAGCTGCCACATCCTTAGATATGCACATATTTGAACTTGACACATGTTGTACACAGTTGTCATAAATGGAAAAATTAGCTATGGAGACTGTTTTTCTTGTCTTCCGTTTTTTTTGTTTTTTTCTTGCACCAGGCTGTAAAATGTTTATTTCTGCTGTAAACTTGGACATTTGACCATCAGGCTTTATAAGGATGAACTCACTTTTGGAGGCAGCCTCAAGTGGACATTTGAGGAACTGCAGTCAGAGATCACATCAACATTAAAATAGATTTTATTTTTTTCCACTAACACCTCTAAAGCTGGTGTCACTGCAGAGGATACGTAATTGATCAACTTTAAAGTTTTAGAAAAATTGATGGCAGTCTCAGAGGGTCACACTTTGACTTGAAAGGCAGAACAGAAGGTCAAAAAGTGGTATGAATCCATTATGTTTGGCTAAATATTTAACCGTCTTTCTGTTTCCTATTAAAGCTTTTCATCAGTTTAGCCAAATATTCCATCCATTATCTATACACCGCTTAATCCTCACTAGGGTCATGGGGGNTTTAGCTCTTCATAAGAAAGGGGTTAAACATTTTCATATTTCCTAAAATGTCTTTCTTGTTCCTTTAATTTTCAATTGAATCTTTGTTTGGTTTTCCCTGTTTGTTTATATTCAGTTTCATTTCCTATAAAATTTGACCCAGCCAATGTTGGCTTGAACAAGTCAGAAAGTCACTTGAAGTCATTTCAAAGCAGCTTCAGATCCCAAAATCATCTGTTTAAACAATAGTTTGTAAGTATAAAGTTCATGGTACCGTTGTGTTCTGTGATCAGATGGAACACAATTTTTTGCTATTTGGCCACAATGAGCAGAAATATGTTTGGAGAAGAGAAGGTGAGGCCTGTACCTCCAATAACAGCAAACCTGCCATCAAACATTCAAGCACGGTGGTGGCAGTATCATGCTCTGGGACTGTTGTGTTGGTGTAAAGATCAAATTTTAGTGAGAGTAAGACTTTTATAATGACAACAAGCTGGAAAAAATAGGAACACATATACTAGTAATGGAAAAAGTATGCATATTTAGTATATCACTGAAGTTTTTTTAAATACTGATAGTACATACTTAAAAAAAATGAATAGCTGAGCTGATGTCAGGTATCAATGGGTAATGGAAAAATAGTTCAATCTTTCAACTTTTACCAAACTGAACGCCAAACACTGAGTGTACAACTGTATGAAAAATATTTGTAAGATTATTAAAGGTCAAATTAAATCGTAAATTGTACAGTGTTGAGGGGCTCAGTGATAATGAAGAGGCTAAAGACTGCTCAAAACACAATTTGAGATTTGTGAACCATTTAAGAAATACACTCAGGTATGAAAAACAACTGAAATGTTCAGGATTGATCAAAAGAATGGAAATTTTCTCATTTGCATTACTCTTAATTAAACCATCATTTGTTGAAAGTGAGAAAAAACATCTAAATAGTTGTAGTCGTAGCAGTTTTACTGCTCCACAGCCTCTCATTCCGGATCAGCGTTGGTCAGAAAAAACAAGCAGTTAGTAAAAGCCATGAAAAATATGGAAAGAAAAACTTACCGTCTTGGATTAGAGTTGATGAAATCTGCCGAAACGCACTGACGGTCCAGGTTCTGTCCGTTATCAGAAACTGAAAGCAAACACGACACCTTAACTGACCCTGTGAGGGAAGTCTGGCTTTACTTCCAGTGGATGCGTGGCAGATTTCCAGCCAGATTGTTTATTCTCCACATTTCCTTTCTTTGATCGGGAGTTCTAATCACAGACGCCCACTCAGGAGTTTCCAGACTGCAAACGTTTCCTCCACTTTCACTGTTACAGAAACTTCAGCAGAGTCTCAGCCTTCTGAACACTGTGGACCCTCATACTTTGTAAATTTCCCTCTTCACGTCCATTTGATTGTGTTTTTAGAAGCCGGGGGAGAATCACATTGCCGTAGTGTCACCGTAGATGGAGATGGTTCAGTACCTGTACACATGACACCAGCAAACACCCAGCACTGTCCGAACTTCACCGGCAGGCAGCTGTTTTGGTACCAGCGCCGAAGGATGCTAACGCTGCCAGTCCAGTGAGAGGGAAGTTCTCATCCATCGTAATTGTGCCCCCAGCGTCCCACCAACACGCCACGATCATCGTTACTATTGACCTACAGATTAGACAGACCTCATTGTATACTCAGCCTTTTCTCATTCCCAATACTACGAGAAGTTTCAGACAACATCCTGGTTTGAGATAAACCAGGATGTTGTCTCCAGAAAAGGAGCAACACTGACGTTTGCAGCAGAAAACATTCAGCGACCGACTCGTAGCGTCTATCTCGGAAGCTGCATGTGGAAAAATAAAGGTAGAAGCATCACATTCTAACTGTAACAAAGGTAAAGCTGCATTTTCTTTGAGGAAGGCCATTGTGAGAATTGGGAAAACTGAACACACTCGGATCCTACCATGGCGCTGACCACACGGCCAACATAGATGGGGTTGCAGCGAGCAGAGACATCGTCAGCCGGGTCTCTAAAGTGTTTTGGGTTGACGTCCAACATCTTGAGGCAAATGTCCACCATATCCTCCTCAAACTGTGTGAGGAAACACAAGTTAGAGCCACCAATACTCGCCGCTAGAGAGAGGTCGCTCGTTATTACCCTGGAGTTTGGAAGTGATCAGGTCGATAGAAGATAGCAGATAGAACAACTTCACTGCTTGGTTTACAACACAAAACTGGGCGCTGACACTTCACCCTAAGCTGAGGTCAATGCAGCTGCGTTTCCTTCATGTATTTTCATTTTAAAGTATTTAATCAGAAAAAGTTCAGGGAAATCGTGCTCTCTTGAGGTGGTTTTTGATTGCTTTGTAAAAGACTTAATAGGCTTCATGAGAGATGAAGTAAGTTGATGTCTGATGAAGAAGATGTCTTTCAGTGCTCACTGACAGTGACAGCTCACATTTGTTCATGGAATTATTTGATGGGATGTTTTGCATGAGATAAAAATGATCATAAAAAAGAAAACAGCTTTTTAAGGTTTGTTTTTATGAGATGTCGCTGTGTTGGTGTATTTGTTTCAGCCTGTGGAGTGTTTGCATGTTGTATCGAGCAACAGACAGTGCTGTGCCAGTACAAACTGGAATATCTTTTATCACCAGTACAGGACATCTTCCAGGAGGACCATAATACTGTATAAAGAGCATGTACTGTGTGGTCTGCACAGTTGGTCGCTCTCTGTTTTCAGAGCTTCTTAAACCTGAAACTCGCTGCAAACGCCGACAAGATGGAAAACGGCGAGTATGGACAATATACAGCGATGTAATATGACTTTATGTATTTTTAAGGTGATGTTTTGTTTGCCTCACACTTCAAACCCTGGAGACATTTGGTCTGCTCTCATAAGGGTTGAATGAAACCATCAAACCCTCATCCTTGAGAACCTTGAACCTCAGAATTTCTGCATCCTTATTAAAAAAATGCTCAGCAGACTGGTTATCTAAATCAGTGTTGGTAAATTTTCTGTTTATTAAGTATCTAATTGTTGCCGCTTGAAACTAAACTGCTTTGTCACATTATTTCTTCATGAAACTTTACTTGTTTTCACCTACTTCATGTTCAAACCATAGAACTGTATATGAAGGATGGTCGCAGCCAATGGGACGCCACCTGCTGGTTGGTGGACTACAGTTTTGAGTTTGAAAGTCGGCGTCGCCATCTTGGTTTTTTTGAACCAGACCTAATGAGCAAAGCTTGGATTGGACTGACGATGACAAAGTCACTGGGGAAACATTTAATGAGATTAAACATCAAGGGAGAAGTAGAATCATTTTCTTACAGATTTCGAGATTTATCTTAGAAACCAGAGAACTCTCCACGTCCTTCTTTTGTAAACCGTCTATGGGTCAAACCACCATAACCGACTCTGTTGCCTCGTTTGAAGTCAAGGCTTCTCTTCCGGTGCTTATCTTTGTCACCATGTCCCACATTTGCATTGTTTTCTTGCCAGATACGATCTGCTACTGCCAGAGCTACGTTAAGATACCCAGAGGTCTTTGCGAAACAATAAATTCTGTGATTCTCAAATGTGGCTTCTGCGGACCGACTCAGATAAAGCTTGTGACAGGAAGTGCAGGTGCAGGCAGGGAGATACCTCTGGGCAGAAAGTTGTGCCACCAGAAACTGAGTTTGAATGATTTATATTTGAATTTGTATTGCTCAACTTGAATGACTGAAATAAAAATCTGAGTTTGAATCGTATAAATCGAACTGTAAATGTTTAATTTAATCTGTGTATGGAGCAGTCAGAGTGGAAACTTATAAAGATAAATCAATAAAAGAAAAATAAAAGGAAGAATAAATAAAATAAACTAATGTGAACTCCACCGGGGCGCCAAAGGAGCTCACTTTGTTCAATCTCTCCAAACCAGGAAGTCCACATTTCATGATGTTTGTTTCTCACATCCGTCTGAGCTTCTGCTTTGGGGAGAACACACAGCATTTGTTC